TATATATATATATATATATATATATATATATATATAAATAAAAAGAAGGAAGAAAACTTTTGATGAGAACAAAGAAATGAACAATTCACAGAGTGAAGAAAAATAATGAAGAGTTGAGGAGGGAAATCTTGGAACAATGATTAAAATGGATTTATTGTAAAGTGATTTACAAATAAAATATATAGTTCCAAGTGAGTATAAAATGGAAAAAATATTGTTCAAAGGCTTCTTAAAAGATTGAGGGATCAGATGAAATGCTCTTTCTGTTTGCAGAGATAGATGATCTTGTTAACCATGTTCCCCATAGTCTATGAATATAGAATACAGCGCAGTATGTAATCTGTTCAATGAAACAGTGTTAAAGATTAATACTCACGAGTCAGACACTCTACTGAATCCACCTATATCACCAATACCACCAGCAGCTGTTCTGTAATTCTTCAGTCTTTGATATCAAAGGCTGCCAGTGAATATTCGAAAAAAAAACATGGCCACTTTATACACGTCACATTGAATATTTTGAACCTTCTGATTGGTTAACCCTTCTATTGGTGAACTATAAAATGAGTCAGCTCATTTTGGCTGGCTTACTAGTACTAGTTACCCAAAAATTCCAATAGATCTAACATAATATGAACTGCTTGAGTTAAAGAATTGGTGTTCTGATAAGATACAACAGACTTTTATATGGTGAAGTTGCTAGTTTTATGCCTAATCAATTTGTGATTCAGAGTTGTCCTCCTAGACTGGTTGTCTATTAATGTTAGAGAGACCAGTCTGTCCTGCCCTTAGCTATAAGAAGAGATGGATTCATACCTTTTTCCCAAGGACAATATATGCAGAAGTGAAGGTAACAGCCATTGAATTCAATATGCCAGTCCCAATTTTCAGAAGTAATCATTATGCTTCACACACAGATCCACTATACTGGTTGACAGTAAATGTTTTTGAAATCTTCTTTTGGCCTGACCAACCATTGGATATGAATCAAGTCATTTTTGGTGTTTGTAAAGGGAATGTTGAACAAGGCCATAATATGCCCAGAATATTGTTTCATCTGTTTCCCTACTGATCCTGCAACAGAAATGCAATATTCTCTTTCAACGGGATAATGGCCACCAACAGCATTTTGATAATGGCCACCAATAGCATTTGAGCATTTATGAATGATTGATTTGTCTGTTTAACAGCATATCAACTGATTATGGCTCATTTAATTTTCTTGGAAGCTTTGAAGTAATAAAAATATGATATGTTATTCTGCTTTCACAATTGAATACATGGTAGATGATACTCAGCTTTAGTGTATATACAGGTTTGTGTGGACATAATTACTAGAGGCAGTGAAATCTGTCTTTTATGTTTTAGTTTTGTTGAAGTTATATTTTGCAATACAGTTTGATTCTTTTAAGAAATTGTAGGATATTATATGGATTAATGTCATGAAAGATTTATTTCATGTTGGTTGTTTGGTAATATTTTAAATAAATTTGGGTGAAGTTGCTACTCTTTGTTAGTATGTGTTTTATTGTATATAGTTCTTAGCATGCTGTACAGATTAGAGGTGGTTCTTGTTTTAGAATATAAGTATGTTATCATAGGTGTATGAATTATGAAGTCTGGACATTATTACTTCATTTTTCCCCATTTTTAGTATTTGATGCCATTCTTCTGTAGTAGGCTTGATGTTGTATAATGTTTAGGAAGCTGGTCCATAGTTTCTGCCATTCTTCTTTGATAAATGTGTTAATGGTTGATTTGAGGTCTGTGTAGGGGATCTTTGTGTTAGAACTATTTAATAAATCTATGGAGGTTGCTTTTTTAGCTGCCAAATTAGTCCTATTTTTGCCCATTGTTGCTGTGATTTGTTGAGAAGCTTAATTCATTTTTCCTTTCTATTAAATAGAGGTTTGTGTTGAGGATAGTGTGTACATTTGTATGTGGGGGTTAGTTGGACATGGGAAGGTTTTCAAGTAGTACTCTAGGGCCATTTTTTACATCTTATGATTGATTTGTTTAGCGGCATATACACTCCTTAAATTACGTCATAATTTTAGTGGAGGCTTGTTTGCTTTAATGTAGAGGCTTTTTGTTGGAGATGTGGAGAAAGCACCAAGGTCAAATCTTAACCCTTGACAATGAACAGTGTCACTGTATTATGTTTGTCATTATTTTTGGTTGTTTAGGGATTTAGGTTGATGATTATAAGTGGGTTGTTAATTTGTATTATTAAGATTTTATGTTTTATCTTTTATAGTTTTGTTTTTAATGTTGGCGAGGCAAGGACTTTCCTCCATTTTCATTTTGTCTAAGCAATCAAATCGATTTTTTGTTTCAATTTGATCTATGTCTTTATGTTGTGTTTTCATTGCTATTTGTTTTGATTCTTTAAGGAATCTTTCTCTTGAGATCCTGGAAGATGGGTATTTTGTTGAGTGGGATGTGGGTGTAGATTGGTGATATTTGTGATCTCTGTTCAATAGTATTAATCTTTATGGGAGGATATTTTGGTATCTCTACAAGGGATTCTAACAATTAATTTTCCTCTTACATTAGTTTCAGTTTTATTGTTCAAATTATGTTTAATTTCTTCTATAAATTTGGGCTCAGTTGCATCATTTTTTTTTTCTTATCAGAGTTTTGTATTTATCATTATTAGTATTTAGTTTTCCTTGTGATCTGTGAGTAGGTCACATTTTTTATATAACCTTCCACTTTTCCAAGCTTCCTGACAGATGTTTCTATTATGCTTTATGATCCTAATCTCTTTTTCCTTCCTCCATATTTCAAATGATCTGGAATATCCTGGGTAATGTTCACTGTAGTTAGCACATTTGTACATCATGTACTCATACTCATTTGTCATGTGGTCTAGATCTCATTGAACACATTTTACTGCACATGGTTTTTCCATGGCAGGCATGCTTGTAGTGACTAATTTTTTGACAGTTATAACATCAGAGAAGGTTTGGGATATAATGTTCAATGTTCTCAATGTTATAACCTATTTTGACTTTCAGAATTGTAGGCATATCAAATATTAATACATATGGGTTTGTTTGTATTAGTTCTTCTCATTTTTAATGCTGATTCTTCTTTAATTGATGATTTCTTTATTTGTTTTTGTTTTTTTTTTTGTTTTTTAATTCGGTTTCTTCCATGGAGAAGTCGGACAGCTCTCTGCTTTTTATGACACCCCTTGAGATGTTCAATGTTTTGTGGTAGAAGGCCTTTATTTTTACTTCATGGAATTTTTCATCTTCTTAAGTGTGCTAACGTCTTATTCTTTTTCTACTTCAACAAATATTGCTCCATTTTTAGACATTTAATGTTGTTTGGCATTACTTGGGAAGATATTACTTTTTGTATTAAAAATGGGGAGAGTTTCATGAGTGGCGTTTCCTCCTCCTCTGATTCCAAGATTATGAATCTTGCAAATGATACTCTCTCTTCATTTGATTCTATTTCTGTGTGCAGTCACTTGAGAGTTTTTTTTTAATTAACCATATAGGGGTTATTTTGAGTTCATACACAAGAATAAACCAAGGGGGAAAATCAATTTACCTTGGCTTATCAGGGATACACTAATGAAGGGACTAGTTTTGGGGTTTTTTTTTTTAAATCTCTGAATTTTGGTACCCAAGATTACTACTAACTCAGGGATATTAATTTATCGTTCCTTCTTTTGCATGATTGACCCCACAGCTACCACCTTCTGATTTGAGAAAAACCAAAACAGGACTTGACAGGATCAGTTAATTGATTAGATTGGATGACTCTGACTGCCTGTCTAGCCCAGGTAAGGGTCAAAGTGGTGTGCTGAGAATAAGTAGTATCTAAGCATCTGGAAGGAATGTTGAATTATGCCATGTTCACACAGAACCTATTACCCTGCCATTCCTGCAACAGAAAAGGCTTCCATCAGGATAATGCCTGCCTGCAGTATTCTGTTACTACTCAATATGCTCTGTAAGATGTTTGACAACTTCCCTGGCCAGCACAACTGCCTTACATATAATCCACTGTGCATGTATGAGACATGATGAGATAACACCTGACTCTTTCAGTTAGCCCATCTATTTCTCATTCTGTACTGCATCAATAGGTTTTAATTTCCTTGTCTGTGTAGAGTGATTATCCTGAATCTTTAACCTTAAAGAATCATACATGTTTCCCCAGAATATTGTTCAACCAATTAATCTGCCATTTCTGCAACAGAAAGTCAATATTCTCTTCCATCAGGATAATGCCCACCTGCATTATTTTTTTACTACTCAACATACTCTTTAAGATGCCTGACAACTTCCCTGGGTTGCTTGAACACTCATTGAACATGATGGGGTAACACCTGACTTGTTCAGGTAGCCCACCTATTACTCATTTTGTACTGTATCAATAGTTTTTTATTTCCTTGTCTATGTAGCATGATTAGCCTAAATCTTTAACCCTAAAATATCTTAAATATAGTGGGGGCAGAAGGATGGTGAATTGTTCATTCTGTTCTGTTGCCAGATTTGCAACAGAAAGGCAATGACTACCCATACTACTCAACATGCTCTTCAAGATGTTTGAAAACTTTCCTGGCCAACATGTTTGCTCAACATGTAGAAGATCTAATGGAATGTGTTCAGTTAGTCCATTTACAACTCTTGCTGTATTGTGTCAACAGATACAAGATGATCACCCAGAAAGATTATCTATAATATACATTTAAACTTGAGTAAATTGAAATACATATTCAAGGTGTTGAAGTTTTTATTCTATCATTGTATCTTGAGATAAACTTGTAAATAACAATTTTAATAAAGCAAGATAAATATTGCATTGCTTATGATGAGATAAGATAATTTCTACAGAAATTATTTTTTTGGAATGATAATGCAAAGGAACACTGAAGATGGTGTGCCTGAAATAATTGTAATAAAGGGAGAAAATAGGGAATTAGAAGAAAATGAAGAAAAGTAGGAGTTTGAGGAAAAAAAAAACAACGTAAAGAAAAATTAAGCGTAGGATAAATAGAAAGTGAGAATTGGAAAATTCAAAGGCAATGGAGAAAAAAAGGGAAAGAAAAAATCAATAAGGTGATATTGAAAAAAAAGAAAGAAATAGGAAGTGGAAAGAAAGAAAGCAAGAAAGAAAAACAGATCAGAAGAAAAAAATGAAATGGTTAAAAGGGTAAAAAAATAAATCAAATTAAGAAGAATGAGAACGTAAAAATATGAGAAATGAAAAAAAGAAAGAAATAAGGTAATGTTGAGTGAAAAGAAAAAGAAAAAAAGGAAGATAGAATTATAGAGAAAACAAATAAGAATAAGAAAATGTGTGAAGAAAGAAAATATAAAAAAGAAGATGAAAAACAAATATAAATGTAAGAAAAATAAAAAAGGAAAACAGTGAGAAGTGTGAGAAGTTAAAAAGAACATGAGAAATGACAAGTGGATGTGACTAAGGTATAAGTAAATAAGATGAAGATTTGTGTGAACATCATTTGAAGATGCAAAAATATTGATTAGAAGGAAAACTTTTCATCAGCTGATCTTGTCAAGAAAAAAACCTTGTGCAAAGAAGGAAAAACAAAGAAGACCAAATCATAAATTAAAAGGGAAATAGCAAAAATAAAACCTTATAATAATGAGCAGAGTGTAAAAAAAGAAAAAAATGTTAAATAAAAATAGAGTAAAAATATAATATTTAACGAATAAAGTAACATTGTTTTTGAAGGTGTATATTTAGAAATATGGAGCCAATGATTAAGACACTGTTTTATTTTGCATACAGTGTATATATGTTTGGGTGTTGTTTTTGCCTTATTGATAAGGTTTAAGTAGAATTGTAACAGAAACAGAAATAACAATTCCAATTGGCTACAAATTCTAAATATAATAAAAGTAAGATAATATTAAATAAAGAAATATCTTCATAGTGTTGTAGCTCCCAAAGATACAAGAAAAAATTCTGACAAGCTGACAGTAAACTAAGAAACATTGAATGGTTTAGGACTAATAGGATGGGAACAAAAGAGTAAATAAAGGAAAGACAAAAGAGGAAGATGGAAAGCAAAAATGAAAAACGGGAGAAAAGAAAAAAGAAAGAGAAAGGAAAAAAGATAAATACAAAATGAATAAGAAAATAGAAAGATTGAAAATGAAGAAGTAAGAAAGAAAGTGAATGAAGAAATAAAAAATGAAAAAAAAAACGAAAGAAATCAGGAATGACACAAGAAAAAAAAGAAGAAATATCCTTAGAATTGTGAAAGAGAAAATTGATATCAATAAAAGAAATGAAAGAAAAGAAAACAGAAATGCAATGAAAACACTAAGAATAGAGAAAAGGAAGGTAAGAGAACTGGAAATGAAAGAACAGAAGGAAAAGATAAAAAAGATTTAGAAAAGAGCTGAGAACAGAAAAGAGGAAAAGAAAAAAAAATGAAAGAAAAAGGAAAAGGTAAGAGATCTCAGAAAGAAATAAGAAAAGATGATGAGGTTGAAAAGAAGAAGAAAAATAATAAAGACATATTGGAAATCCTTTAAAGAAAGCAT